TTTCGAGGGTCCCCCTGAGGGACGGGGGCCACACGCGACCGCCTCTGGAATCTATACCTTTAGTTCAAAGCCATTTACAAACCCAGGGCCATGAATTCTCGGGCTGAGGGTACCAAGACAACCCCATTCGGCAACTGGGAAGAGAGGCCAGGAGAGGGCCGTGATGTCATCACGTGCTGCCACGGTCAGAGTGTGCTCATTATGTGCTCAAATGTGCCCAGTGTCTCATTGGCTGCTGGACAAAGCCAGCGCTGGCCCCGGGGGCCGGCAGGGTGGGGCTGGAAGGCTCCGCAGACCCTCCAGGCGCCCCCAGCCCCCCCCCACCCCGTGGAGCCGGGCACCCTCACACAGATGGTTCCCCCAGGGACCGAAGGCCCAGAGGGCCAGGCTCGGCATAATTTGCGTGAGGGTGTTTTCTCATATCATGAAAAGTTTCTTGTTCCACAGAAGGGAGATGGGGAAAAAAAAAAAAATTCTTAGGAAAACTAAGTTCCAGAACGCAGGGAAAAAAAGAAGAGTTCACGGAAATAGGAAAATAGACGTTCATTTCTGAAAAGTTTCAAAACTGAAACGATCAGCCTGTTTGAACTTGGTCAGGCAGTTCTTTCATTTGGCCATTTGAACGGGATAAGAAGGAAGAGGGACTAGAACCAAAGGGGACCCTGGGAACAATGTTTTAATGTCACCGCTTGGGTCGCCTGAACCTAAGCCCCTCAGGCTTCCTAGACCGCCTAGTGTGTCTTTTCCAGAGGCTTCATGAAACCGCCTCTGAGATCTGGGTCTCTTTCCAGATGGCAAGAAAAACCCACCGTGAGGGCCCCGCCCGTGGTCTCCCAGGGAGCTGGGCACGCAGCAGGCGGGAGCTGGACCTCCTCGTTCCCAAACCCGAGCCCTTGCTGAGAGAAACACTATTTTCTGCAACTTGAACAGTCCCACAGAGAGTGGCAGCCCCTTTGGGAGCAGGTTGGGGGCCACCAAACACTGTAGCGAGATTCCTCCAGAAAACAACAGATCCGTGTTGGGGGAGTGTGTGGGTGAAGAGGCAGAGGGGGAAGGAAGCATGTTTGCCCAATTTCCCACTTCCAGAATAAACGGACACCTGTTTTTCTTTCCAACAACGGAAAGGTTATAATGGATCAGGTATCAGATTGGGGCAGAAAAGGAGGCCAAATGCTTCCCCGACCGTGGAAATCACCTGAAAAAGTTCTCATTCCTTTTATAGCATATGAAGCTTTGAAACTGCTAAGGGCACCTCGTGGTTGGAAAAAAAAAATATACACACATTCCTAGAGACCTAGGAATTACGTGAGGTGCAGCCAACACAGGAAGGCCAGTCTTGAAAATCATGCCCGCTGAGAGCTGGGGAGGGGAGGCAGCCGGCCCGGAGCAGAGAGGCAGGAGGTGGACGGAGGCCCGGGGTTGCGGGCCACCCCCCTCCCCACAGCCCTCCCCAGGGGAAATTCAACGGCCCACGCTCAGCAAGCCATTCAAAACCGACCAAGACCACAGTGGGGAGAAGAAGAAAAGGAAGATCAAGAACCTTTTAGTTTGGTCTAAGTGGAAATATCCAGCCACTCAGACTGAGGCTTCATGTGATCGCGTGTGCGTGTGTGTTTGTGTGTTTGTGTGTGCATGCGTGCGTGTGTTTGTGCGTGCACACACGCACGCATGCACATGGCCTGGCATTCCTAGGAAACTCCGCATGGCATGTGTCTCTCTTTCCTAGGGAGAACTTAGAAGCGGATGTGGGGGGGGAGGAAGGGTCATGAATTAAACTAAAAATACTATTTGTTGACCATCTCGGGGAGAGTGTTGGTGAGAGTCGTAATGATGATGGGGCAGACGTGGGCAGGGAGGTTTCGTTTTCTAAATTATTTAATATCTCCCACCACGCGGAGGAATCCTGGTGTCCCTGAGATGCTTGTTTCTTGTAGTAGGGAATCCAAGGGGATTCCCTCTCTCTATTCAAGTATCTCTGCGTCCTGAACCAAACACACAAGGGGCCCGGTGAGTCTCTCTTGGCAGAGAGAGCGTCTTCGGCCAGCCTGCCTTGGGCTGGTGGCAGGAGTCCCGAGAGGTGGACGTGAAGCATCCTCACTTGGAAGTGCTCTCCTAGACTTTACATCTAATTTTCGAAGGCAGGGCGGGGGCTTTATCAACAGCATGCAGCTGCCGTGAAAAGTCACGGTTTCCAGCCCCAGTCTGCAAACGGCCGTCCGCCTTTCGGCCATCGAGACAGAATCTGTGGTTTCTAAGTCAGTTTCGGTTTGACAGTGACCCGAGTGCTGCTTGGAATCATTTGAGTGAGTCCCTGGCCCCAGCTGTACACCTTCTCTGGCTTCACCGCCCACCAAGGGGAAGGTGGTTCTCGCCGTCTGCGAGCGTCCAACGAGCCGAGCGGACTCGGGTTTGCCTCCTCTGCCGGGGAGGCTGCCTGGGATGTTCTAACACGCCAGGATGGAGCGTCGACCACCCGTCATTTCCACACAGGCTTGTGGCCCACACACTGAACAAGAGCCAAAGCCGGCACACGGCCGCGGGCGGAGTCACTTACGTTTTAGAATATTCCTCTGCTCCAGCTCCTCCGCCGTCGGCCTCTGGCTCAGCCGCCTGCGGAAAAGATCCAGGAAACGTTTTTGGACCGCGTCATAGCCTCCTTGGGTCATTAATCTCCCCGGCCCTTGCAGGTGCATGAGGCGGAGCGAGAGGCTGCAGCTCCTGCCCCATCCTGTGCCGTGCGAGACGGGCTCTGACCACCACCGCCTCCTCAGTTCCTCAATTTCAACCCCAGGAAAGGCACCCTGCGTCATGTCACGCCAAGCTGACCCTCCTCCTTCCTCCCGTCCTCCGCCCCTCCCCAGCCCTGCTCCGCCGGGGCCTCTGGGCCAGTGGACGCTTCTCGTCACAGAGGCCCCATTCTTTCATGCGGCCTCCTCGCTTCGGGACAGTGGCCTCTACCCGCCCCCCAGGGTGAGAGCTCGCTTCTTGCCATGTTTGTGCAGATCCAGTTAGGACAGAAAGAGGCTCATGGCCCCGGGGAGACACAAGACAGCGTGTCCTGTCTGCGAAGAACAATAGATGCTCTTCTTCTTGTCCCCACCCACCCCCACCAGAGCCGCCTTAGACGGGGAGGACAAAGGAGCAGGAACTGCAATGTCTCTCCTACCCTGGCACGTCATGGGGCCCTACCCAGTGCGACATGGCAGCAGGGGCGTCAACTGGTTGTGATGCAACAGTGTGGGGGGGGGGCGGGGACGGATGATGGTGGCCCCGCGTCCCAGCAGAAGTCACCGGAGACTGGGAAGGGCCCTGCGGAGGACAAGTGCAAGCTGGTGTGGGCGGATAAAGCACCAGGGATGAGCAACACAAACAGTGGGGCCCCGTATTCACAGAGACGTTTTTGTATTTTGAAGCTCCTGGCAATTATTTAACGACCCTGCAAAGTTGAGCATCCTGCTCCACACCATGGGAAGAGGCATGTGCGAGAGGAGAAAGTTGCGGAAGGAGTCGCGGGCTGCTCGGCGGCCTGCACTGGGACCTAAGGGGCGCTCCCCCAGGAGTACAGGTTGTGCTTCCTCCCCGGGTATCGGCACCTGTGTCTCCAGGTGGCAAGGCGTTTACACCGTGGGATCTCAGGAGAGACCCGGAGTGAAAACAGAAAGTGCATGGAGTTACTGAGTGCAAAGAGTTGACATTGAACGCTTCTTGTCACCTGCAATTCTCCTCATTGCCCTGGATTCTGAGAGACCCCCAATGGCATCACCATTGATGCTCTAGGGAGGGCACGGAAGGATTTCCGTTCAGATACCAGTCGGTAAAATCTACAGCACCTTGGAAACGGCTGGAAATTGTATTCCGAAGTGTTGTTCAGTTTATAAGCCCACTGTCGTGTTCGTTAGTCATTTGTTCTTCCAAATGTCCCATGAAGACACTATTTCTTCCCATCGACCAGGGCCCGCTGTATATTTGGAAATTTGCAATATTGGAGACTCTAAATTGGGACTCCAGAGTCTCGAAGTCTTTCCTAAAATAGCACTCTCAGACCTCGGGAGGAAACTGTGTCATTGGTCTGGAATGCGGACTCTGCTCAGAATGAGCTGCGTGGAGGCTCTGCCCCACTTTTCCATTTATCTTCCCCCAGAATCCTCGCTTCGTTTGTAGGGATGGGCAGTCAGCTTCAAGGGACCCCTTGGTGGAACCCAGGCTCTGGATGCCGCTAGGGCTGTAGGTCAGTAGGTTTTGAATAAGCTCCTGATTCAAGGTGGAGCTTGCATCCCAGAAGTCTTATGCCCAGAAGCGTCTGCAGAACGTTCCCCCACTGGCTTGTGCTGAGAAGCCCACTGATTCTGTCGCCAGACCCGTTGCCTGGTTCTGTGCTGGCTTTTTCGTTGTTTTTTCTCATGGGTCACATTTGGCGGGGACAAAAGGATGAGAGACTGAACTACATGCACAGCAAATTCTGTCTGCTGGGCAACCTTAGATTTAAAGACACATGCTTTCGAGTGAGGCCCCCTGTTTATGTTTCATTTCTCCTAAAAGGGTCTGAGAACATCGAGGCCAACCACAGCGATCAAACGGAGCTAAGCCCTCCCCAAGGACACGTACAGTAGTGAGGTGTTTTGGTTTTGAAAATGAGATAGGGTAGGAAAATCATACTCTGGCATCATGATGACAAAGCACAAACAGCTCAGGAGTTAGGGAATCTGGGTTCTAGTTCTGGCTCCGCTCTGAACCTACTTTCCGTGGACAAGGTATTGGACTCCACTGCAAATAATAACTAGTAATTTAATGGCTAAGGCTGACGTCATCCCTGTCTCGTGCAGGCATGGTTCTTAGAAACAGCGGCTATGTACTCGGCCACATCCAAATGTGAATTCATTTATGGAGCGTGAGCAGGGGTGGGGGTGGGGGTGGGGATAGGAAAATAAGTAAATAAAATACATACTAAAATATTTAAATAAATGCGTTTGTTCATTTTACAAATTACTGGGTGAAGGCCAGCTCCGGGCCGGGTTCTGGGTTGGGCACTTGGATGAGTAAAAGAACGGATCAAGGTCCTGCCTCTGGGGGAGGCAGTCACTGATCAGGTAGTCAGGGAAGCAAGTATGAGATGTAACCGTAGTAACAGGCTGCCAACGGGAGGCACCTGGGCATGGATTCTGACCAAATTATGTCAGGAGAGGGGTCCCAGGGGAAGGGACGCGGTGTCCCGATGGGAAGGACAGACGGACGGAGCCACGGTGCTGGAGTGGAGACAGCGAGGGGAGGAAGGAAGGTGGGGAACAGGCAGGGGCCAGGCTGCGTGGCCCACGAGGCGAGAGGGCAGGACAACACCCAGCACGTCGCATCCCGGAAGCGAGGTGGGAAGATGGGCATGACCGGCCCAGGGTGCTGAGTGCTGCCGAGAGGTCAGGCGAGCCTCGCAAACGGCCCACGGGGATCAACACCAGCTGGGCTTGCAGCAATCTCGCCTAGAGCTCTGCCAGGGCGAGCAGGGAAGGGAAGCCAGGCAGGAGCGAATTGAGAACAGAGGTGAGAAAATAGACAAGTATGCACGATTCTTCCCGAAGCTTGGCTGGATGAGAGAGTTGCGGGTGAAGGGGGCTCTGGCGAAGTTTATACTTTTTACTGGGAGAAGACTGGGCGCGTTTAATGGAAAGAATCCGGATGAGGGGGGCGCCTGGGTGGCTCAGTCGGTTAAGCGGCTGCCTTCGGCTCAGGTCATGATCCTGGAGTCCTGGGATCGAGCCCCGTGTCGGGCTCCCTGCTCAGCGGCGAGTCTGCTTCTCCCTCTCCCTCTGCCTGCCTCTCTGCCTACTTGTGCTCTCTGTCAAATAAATAAATAAAATCTTTAAAAAAAAAAAAAAGAATCCGGATGAGGTGGTGGTGGCAGGAAACTACGTAAGGAGGGAGGAGGCTCAGCTGATGGTGCAGGAGTCCCGAGGAGGCAGGAGGGGTTGGGGTCCAGGGACAGAGAGGCCTCCCTCCTCAAAAGCAGGAGGAGGGATGGCTCTTGACCGTGACAGGGGAAGCAGGATGGTATGTGTTAGATTTGGTACTGGAATTAATGAAGAGCTCCCAACTGATGGCTTGCAGTTACTATAACACACGGAAGTTGGTTTATCACAAGGATGACTTCTATCAGCTTAAAATAATACCTTTCCTTGACAGGCTGGTCTTCAGACGGAGGCAAATTCATAAACTAAAGGGATAAAGCTCTAGCGTCAGAATTCTCGTGGCTAGCTTCTTAGGGAAGGACCCAGAGCAGCCTGACATGGTCCAAGTAAAGGCTTCTTTCCAGATCTACTTGTACAGAAACACTGGTCACTGGAAAGCCAGATAGCAGAGCACATTACTGTATTAATGAAGTGGGCAGTTTTATGAATAATCCCAGAGAGCAGATAACTCCAAGAATAAAGACAGAGGTGCTTTCTGAGTGTATTGTATCTTTTACCCCTGTCTTGACGGTACGTTTAAGTCACTGTATCCGACTTAAACTCACATTAAATGTAAAAAGTGCTTCCTGACTCTGTATGTAGACATGACCATTTATATGCTATATGATAAAGGCAACATTTTTGGGAGTTAAACTTTTCTGTAAAATGAATGATCCCAAAGTAGGAGTTTTAATGTGTTCTCAAGTGATCTATTCAAATAGCTTTGCTGGTATATATGTGGCCCTGGTTTATTAGGTATCTCTGAGATGCAAAATTGTTGTCACTCTTCAAACGGTTTCTTCTTTACATGACCACCGCTAAATGATCTGCACTGGCTGCAAACTGAAAAATCACCGAGCTCCTGTTTAAATGCCATGCGCCATCAATCGCCACCTAGGAGCCTTCCAGGTTCTTGCAGAATTTAGAAACGGATGTTCTGTAGTGTCAGTTTGAACAACTCTATGCTGGTGACTGCAAGAAACAACCACATAAACTAAGGCTTTTCTTTTTCCAAGCAAGGACCATGACAGACAAACAGGCCAGAAGCAAACAGTACTTCGGCTTTGGCCTCGGAAAAAGGAGAAAGGAGACCGTGAGAGAATGTGGTGGCAAGATGCTTTAGGCAACACGCAGAGCAGGGAGGCTGTCTCCCCAGAGACGTGACAAAAAACCGCTGAAGGTCTGGCCTGACTCCTGATGCTGACGAGGAGGATTCATTCTGCCGCAAGGAGCTAATGAGCCTTCTGCTGGTGTCAGAACTGCAAGGTCACGGCTTTCATTAGCCTTTGCAACTGCATATTGTTTGGAGGGCCCTGATTTTAAGGTTTGGATCTCTGAAAGCTGTATCTGCATTTCAGGAGAAAGCAAAGCAGAATTGACGTCGGTCTTCTGCATCTCAGCCCCAGGGGGAGGGAACGGCCCTTCCAGAGGGGAAGAGAAAACGGGAAGGACTCGTCCTCTCTCCTAAGGCAGGAGGAGACGGTTTCCCGACTGCCGCTCTGGATGGGAAAGGGTGCAGATGGGCCTGGTGGGGCCGCAGGGAGGGGAGACGCGCTGAGTTACGACCCTTCCTTTGGAATCGTTCTGGAGAACGTGTCGGTTGCATGCGTTTGTGTGTGGCCTTGGTCACTGCTACATCGCCAGGTGTTAGGAGGCCACGGAGAACTAAAAGGTGCTTTTTACTTTTAAAAATATTTTATTTATTTATTTGTCAGAGAGACAGCGAGCACACAAGGAGGGGGAGTTGCAGAGGGAGAAGCAGGCTCCCCGCGGAGCAGGGAGCCCGATGCGGGGCTCGATCGCAGGATCCTGGGACCATGACCTGAGCTGAAGGCAGACGCTTAACGACTGAGCCACCCAGGCATCCCCAAAACAGGTGCTTTTAGTAATTATTTAGCCCAGATCCTACTCGTCCCGATGCCATACACGCTCCTGGGAAGATTTTATCCACAGTCGTGACTTCAGTTCACATCTATAGCCCGGTGACTCCAAAATCTATACCTCCAGTTATAGTTTTGAGTTCCAGACCGCCTTTCCAGTTTATACTCCTACAGGCTGTCAAACTCAGAAGGTCCTAAATGAATTCATCCATCTTCCCCTCCTGTCCTGACAGTTTTGCATCCCCGTGAGCTGCCCAAGCCAGGAAACTGGGAACTGTCCTTGGTGGGCTTGACCCTCAACAGCCAATCCACCGCCAGGTCCAAACCATGTCCATTCCAGCTCATTCCAGCCCACCACAGCCGGAGCCTCTCCCCGGGCTGCTGCAGCCCATCCCACTCGGGTCCTCCTCCACCCCAGATGGGATGGTCTTTCTAAGGGCAAACCTGATCACACCACTCCCTGCTTGAAAACTACGCACGCCCACCCAGAGCCTGCAGGAGGGAGTCAAACACCCAGGGTCCTAGAAGAGTCCTTGTGATCTGCACGCTTGCCAAGAATCCTCCCAGCCCACCCCGTCCTTTAGATGTAACTGCGTCTTCTTCGTTTCTTCTAGATTCACATGCCTTTCTTTATAGCGACGCATTCTCTCTCTCGTTCTCTTTGTCTGGTGGTAATCCTCAAACTCACAGCTTCAACCTTAAACATCACTCCCTGTGGGCACTAACATTTTGGTGAAGGTGCCCCCACCATGTGTGACAACAGTCCCGTATCCCCCGTATGCTGGTGCTTGTCCTTCTTGTTACGGCCCAGCCTGTCCACTAGACCCCGGGGCTTGGGCTCTGTGACATGGGGCCACCTGGTCCCCTGTCCACCAGGGTCACCTCATGAGCACAGACCTGGGCGGCCACACAGGGACCCCACTTAGAAGGGCCCCCGCGCTTGGGCTCCAAGGCTCTGCTGCCATTTTGAAATTTTCAGTCCTTTTTGAACAAGGGACCGACCCCCTCATCTGCAGCACCTAGCACCGAGTCTGGGAACTGGAGTTGCTCCATGTTTGTGAAATCATTAAATGCACGTTGCCCCATGACTATCCCTCGTCTTTGCCCTTTCCCTCTCTTCTAGTTCTTTCCCTAGGGCAAGCACATGTGTTCTCTGTCAGAAACAAAACAAACCACCCTCCTCCTCCACTCCCCTGTCCCTCAGTGAATCTCCACCTCCAGCCTGCTCTTGGCTGCCCGACCTCTCCAAAGAGGGGTTCAGGCGTGAGGTCTCAGTAAACCATCGCAACCCTGGCTTCTGTCCACACCATTCTACTGCCCTGGTTCTCCGCTGGACAGTTCTGCCCCCAGGGGACCTCTGGCAAGGTCTACAGACATTCGTGGTTGTCAGGACTGGGGAGGCTGCTTCTGGCGTCTAGCTCAACGTCCCACCCTGCACACGCCTGTCCCTCACAACACAGGACTGGCCGGGCCATGCGACAACAGTGACGAGGTGCGGGAACCTTACTCTCCCGAATCAGGTCAGTGTCAAGGTCACTGAGGATTAACGGCCAAATCCAGTGGCTTTTATTAAGCCCTCATTTTCCCTGACCTTTCTCTACCGTGTGGCACCTTTGACTAACAGAGACTTCTCGAAGCTCCTTCTCCTCTGGTTTTCAGCATGCTCACGCCTCCTTCCACACCCTTAGCACCTGCTCCTGGCAGGTGGCACGCCTGGGGAGAGCCCCAGAGGTGCCCTGTCCTGGGGCCCTGTCCAGAAGCAGCACCATCCGTACCGAGCCCGGGTCCGCCACCTGACAGGCGGGGGCCGCAGAGGAGCCGGCCTTCTCCCCACGCCTCAGCCTTCCGTGCCCGTGTGACAGAGCGAGGGACCCTCTGGGTGCCCGTCTCCGCAGACAGACTGCCTAGAATCCCGGTGCTCAGAACGGGCAGAGGGCAGAGCTAGGAGCTCCCCCTGCTGGGCTCCCCCGTCTTGATCATGGCCTCACCCCCGACACCCATATTACCCACTGGCATGACCACCTTCTCAACTAGACCAGGAACCCTTCACAGGCAAATTACGTCTTATTTATCTCTGTGTTTCTAGACTCGGGATGGCACCTGGCACACAGGAGGGGCTCCACAGATTTTCCATGATTCAATCAATGAATAATACTCCAACCCAGGAGTTGTGCCCTCGGGGACGGCCAGAACTCTGGGCCCTACACCACGGTGGCCGGCCGCTGAAGACGTTCCTCTGGGAAGAATGAACAGCAGTTTTGCTTTTATACCTCAGGACTCTGCCCTGCTACCCTTTCTCTCTGCCAAGAAGGCAGAGCAACTCTTAAAATTATTGATCCACATACCCAACTCTTTCCAGGAATTTCAGTTAATAGTTTTCAACTTCCCCTCAAGCTATTAACAAATAGCCTGGTTCTAAGCATGGGAAAGAGCCCAGAGAGGAGAAAACGGACTGGGGTCCAGGGCCTGCCTCCACCATTAACCAGAAGGTCGCTTGGGCGCATTATGCCGCTGTATCTCCGCTCTGAGTCCCACCGTCTGACAGGTGGCTGTAACCACAAGCTAGCCCGCATGCCTCCCAGGAGCTCTGAGAGGCCCGAATGAGAATGAGAGAAAAATCCCTTTTAAAAGTAAGTAGAAGGCGTGAAATTTTATTTTTGGTAACTCGAAAAAAGTCTCGGACCTCAAGTAGATAAACAGGTACCCTTAAGAAAGAAAGAGTATTGCTTTTGATGGACACAGACCATCAAGGCAAGGACAGAGTGATTCCAACGAAGAGAGGAAGCTCTGGGTGTCACTGCTGAGTGACTGTCATGGACGGAATCACGGGGAGGTCGACGTGCACAGCCCAGACAACATGAAAATGGCATAAGACTATATACTTACTTTATTTACCCACTCATTCATCCACTCATTGAAAAAATATTATGGTTCCAGATTTCCCCGATGCCTCTGCTTTGTTGGGCCTCAATAAACAACATACACAACCCGTGACTACTTTCTGAAGCAAGGCAAGGGATGAAGAGTTGGGTGTAGGCCCCGGGTTGCCCCCTCCCACCGGGACTCCTCCTAGGAGCTGTAGAATATGTGCAGCTCGTGCTTTTCTCATATTCACCCCCAACGGGCCAATCTCTCAGGGCCATCAGCGCCCCCCAAGAAGAGTTCTGAGGGTACAAGAGGAGGCAGAGGCTGGAAGACAGGAGACAGGAATCCCTAGCCTCCTTCCCCCTCCTTCCTCAATGGGTTTCTGGCCAATGTCCTCTCACTGCCTCCCACAAGCTCCTATTTCTAGAAACAATAACTCAGGTTCAGATGAGATCCCATGCTGTTTAGAAACCCAGAGAGGAACATACAAAACCCCCAGAGAGTCTCAGATGCCCGTGTGGAGGGGGTTTTGGTCACATTATTTTGCCAAGTTTCCTACAGTCCTCCTTTATGAAAAGTCCCACACCCCCCTACTCCTTCCTGAACCATCACTCCTCAATTGTAAATGTAAAGCTTCATTTAAAAAAATATTTATTTATTTGAGAGAGAGAAGAAGTGTGCATGAGCAAGGGGAGGGGTAGAGGGAGAGGGGGAGAGAACCAAGCAGACTCCCCACTGAGCACGGAGCCTGACACAGGGCTTGATCCTATGACCCTGAGATCATGACCTGAGCTGAAATAGAGTTGGATGCTTAACTGACTGAGCCACTCGGGTGCCCTGTAAACCTTCATATTTAAACTAATAGTCCTGCAACCCAAAGGAGGGATACTGAATGTAGTTACTCTCATTAAACTCTAAGTGCTTTCCTATGACATGATAATCTTTCACAGAATCTCTTTTTATATATGTGATGTACCAAAAAAGACCAGACCCCCCCCCAACCCAACCCCCTCCCCACACATACTTTTTCTTTCTAGCAGCATGGTGCACTTTAGGAATGTCTAACCAGTCTGGATTTGCAGTTTTGCATTCTTTGGAAATCTTTTTAATTGGATCAGGAAAGATGAATGGAATGGGTTTATCTGTCTGGGAAAGGATCTATTTATATGGGAAAGGGACAGAGGAATAAGAATGGGAAAATGTAGTGATATGGACACTTCCAATAGATTTTGCCTCGATTATAGAGGAAACGAACAGAAATGATCTCTCTCTACTTTCTTGGCCTTATCTACCCAATGCTTTGGGCGAGTCCTTGCGAGAAGAGACTGTCTTCCCTTAAATATATTCCCCCAGACTGACTGAGCTCATAGCACGTATCTACCAAGGGACTCTCAGCTCCCAGCTTGGTGGATGGGAGTCTAAGTTCTTCCCTCCCTTAGGCTCTTCTCTCCTTATGTCCTGACGTCCGGTCACACGAGCTACCATAGCACCTACATCACACACAACCCCTCACTCTCCTACACGTGCACTCGATGTGTGAGCCCGGAGGGGAGTCACAGGGGAGCGTGGTCCCAGTGCCTGGGCAGGCGGCATCTCAGGGCTGCAACACTCCACAGGAGCCCAGGGAAACTGGGCAGACTCCATAAGCGGCCCTGGGCCATGACTGTACCGTCCTTCTCAGGACCATCAGCAACACCAACTCCCGAGGTGTCAGAGAAACACCCCCCTCCATCCTGAGGGAAATGGCTGATTGTGGAACATTCCTTCAGGAGCAGTCTCCTCCCCCAGGAGAGTAGGCTGGCCGCCAGGTCCTTTTTTTTTAATGGGGGCAGGGCAGAAGGAGAGGGACAGACAGAATCTCAAGTAGACTCCACACTCCGTGTGGAGGTGACGTGGGGCTCGATTTCATGATCCTGAGATCATGACCTGAGCCAAAATCCAGAGTCTGACGCTTAACCGACTGAGTCACCCAGGCGCCCCATGACCGCATGTCTTTAACCAGAGGAAACTGTGAGGCTGAGCTTGTCTGAAGGCAGAACCCCACCCACGGGGGGACGCTCGGCCTCTCAGAGCCCTGGAAGGCCTCCCTCTGGGCATTCACGGCAGGAAAGGGATGGGAAACCATCAACCAGAGCAAAGCACTGGGCCCTTCTCAGCACCTTGCTTCTCAGTCAGGAGACAGGCTCTCCGAGAGAGAGAGAGAGAGTTTGTGTGTAATGTGCACATTCTCCTCATGCAGTAAGGGTTGTACAGAGGTTCTGGCAGGCTCTGGTCACCTCAGTTTTACACACATCCCACACATGTGTGGTTCTGCAACTTGCTGGAATGGCCACCACAACCTCTCCTCCCATCTGTGTGAAGCTCGGTTTAGGTGTCACCTGCGGTTACAGCTTTGGGCTCAGGCCTGCCCTGCACTCCAGGAATCACGCATCAGTGTTGGACTTTGCCTCCTTGTGTCCCTCTTCCTCGCACTTTCATCCCTGGTCCTGGGGCCTGAATCCAGCTCCAGTGGCGAAAACAAGACGATGCTCATCATTCCCGCTGATACTCCTTTCCCAGCTGGACCTGCCTGCCATGGCGCGTGGCCTTCCTTCTTGAGGACAACACATCTTCTGCTAAATGGATTCCCTCTTGGGGCGCCTGGGTGGCTCAGTCGGTTAGGCGTCTGCCTTTGGCTCAGGTCATGATCCCAGGGTCCTGGGATCGGGCCCCGTGTCGGGCTCTTTACTCAGCAGGGAGTCAGCTTCTCCCTTTCCCTCTGCAGCCCCCCCTGCTTGTGCACATTCTCTCTGTCAGATAAATAAAATCCTTTTATTTTTAAAGATTTTATTTATTTATTTGACAGAGAGAGACACAGCGAGAGAGGGAACACAAGCAGGGGGAGCGGGAGAGGGAGAAGCAGGCTTCCTGCGGAGCGAGGAGCCTGATGTGGGGCTCGATCCCAGGACCCTGGGATCATGACCTGAGCCGAAGGCAGACGCTTAATGACTGAGCCACCCAGGCGCCCCATAAATAAATAAAATCTTAAAAAAAAAAATGGATCCCCTCTTTCATCTGCCTGTACAGCCGGTCCCTCCTCTGCCGGCCAACAGCTCAGCTATGCTGCTTCTGATGGTACCTGGCTGTCCTTGAAAACAGCTTTCCTACTTGCTCAGGTAATAAATCCAATTTAAAAGAATGGACCGTATGCCCAGTATGATTTGTAAAAACAATACGGTGCTTCACATTTGGACTAATAAGTAAAAGCAAGTGTAATTATTCCGATTAGAGAAATTAGCACTTGGAAAAACCTCTTTGTGTGAAGATAAACAGAATTTCTCCCTGTGATGGGGATGTGTTAAGCTTACGCACTTCCTACATGGATCCAGCATCAATACTGTGACAGGCAAGGCCACCCTCTCTACAGGTCCTCGGTCTAGGCCCTTAAACGTGTCATCTCCTTCTTCTCCAAAGGGCCAAGCAGTAAATTCGTCAGGCATGGGGGACCGTGTGGTCTCTGTCACTATCCCCTGCAAGTAGCCTCCGTGATCCCCCAGGGCTGATGTTCCAACAGGCGGGCTTTGGCCCCCGGGCTGCAATTGGCGGCCCCTGCCAGGGGGTATTACCCGAGCCTAAAAACTGTGTCCTGGAAGATCAACCAACCGCGGGGAACTGCAGGACCTGTGCAGCTTGCTCAACGGACGCGAGTTATTTTGGTTCAAAATGAAAGGGGGGGGCTTGAGTCACGTGCTATGTAGTCCTTGACCCCGTAGGAAGGCTGGTCCCCCAACACATCAGCCTGAGAACCTGAGCACGACCCTCTTGTCTTCCTCACCACCACCACCACCATCACCACCATCACCACAATACAGTCTCTGGGGGTGCCTGGCGGGGCGCAGTCAGTTGAGCCTCCGACTCTTGGTTTTGGCTCGGGTTGTGCTCTTACGGTCATGGGATCGAGCCCCACATCAGGGGCTCTCAAATAAATAAATAAATCTTTAAAAAATCAAATACCCCAAAGATGTCACGCCTTCCATGCATCGCATCTCCTTACGTGGCACATTACGTGGACAACTGCCCGGCGTTTTGTACTGTCTCCATCCTAAGCTCTCCTCCTCCATTGTGGTTTCCAGACTCCTGGCCCCTCCTCAAGCTCTGGCCCACATGGGGGTCAGTCTTGGTGGCTCCACAGTCGGATCAGAGCGGCGTGGCTGTGAGTTCTCCCACTTGTGGCAGCTAAAGGCACACTTCCCTTAACAGGACTGTTTGCCCCACCTATTCGCTGACATCCTTGCAAGAAGACTGCTTTCTCCTTACAGTGTCCATGGCCTTCGGGCTCTGTCACCAGCTCAATAGGAGGACGACTGTGATGTACATAAAGGAGATCAGAATGTCCTTCTGAATCAAGTTCACTGTCAAATAGGCTGTTTGAAAACTTTTATGGAAATGATTAGTGTTTAAAGAAAATGTTCTGTATAGTTTTACACATACCTTGGTATTCTTTTTGTTTTTTCTCAAAGATTTTATTTAGTTATTTGAGAGAGAGAAAGCAAGCACAAGTGGGAGGAGGGGCAGAGAGAGAAGGAGACAGAATTTCAAGCAGACTCCCCACTGGGCACAGAACCCAACACGGGGTCAAGAGTCGGATGCCTAACCAACTGAGCCACCCAGGCGCCCCACGTACCTTGACATTCTACTATTAATAAATCATTAAGCAGCTATCATGTAACCTATGATGTAAAATTCTGACAATTTTCCACTAATTTCTTAAGTAGTCTGAATCTGAGATTACATAGGCTTAAAAAAAAAAAAAAGAATAGGCTTATTTTGTTTTCGCCTGGACTAAGCCGTATGGATTTACAGCTCCTTGGTGGAAAACGCCTGAGCATATCCTGGTTGCACCGCTTGCTGACTGCAGGGTGAGAATCAGATTTCACAGGCCGTGGTCCCAAACAACTCTGTTCATTAAAGACTGTGAAGAAAGAGGGCAAAGTGACAGCGCACAGAGAGACAGTGAGAGCCGGGGGTGGGCAGGGAAGGTGCTCCAGGGACGTGCTGAACCCACAGAGCAGGCTCTGAGCAGAAGCTGTCCACTCAGCCTCCTTGAGTACAAAGGTGGCACCATGTCACATAAGGAGGGTGTGCGGAGGGCTCCCCTTGCGTGGGACATGGGTTGCTTCTTGGGATGGAACATGTAGGTGGCAGGTACATTGGTTCAGTAAATTCAGGAGGGCAACTCCTTCACTGTCCATTACCACACAGGAAGATGCAATCATCTAGCTTAGTGTCTTTTAAGAGGGAGTTTGGTGAGTGACGATATGACCATGAACAAAACGAGGAAAATCATAAGTCAAAAAGAGCGTTGGATTTCAGGCAGTTAAAACTCTTTGCAACATACTGATTACCGTCAGCATGCACTACTATTTATCTGTCTGCCTACTTTCTTTTTTTCCAAAGGAACCAACAAGGCTTCCCGTTTTGAAGAACGATTGTTTTAATGATTCGATGGGCAAAGAACATAAAATCTTCATGATTCCACTTCCTAAAATAGAAGCGTATTTCACTTATATTTCAAAGGAATTGCCTTTAGAATCAGAGGGAAAAGCGATTTTCCAGGGTTTG